CAGGTTCAGGCTGACTAGAAAAAGCAGTCACGAGAGATTCGACGATGTTTTAGAATCGTCTTACCTTGAGAGATTACTCGAAGCCTAAATTAAGTGGTCTACATCTAGGTTGGGTCTTGAACTGAAATACCATATTGAGGCCATTGGTGCTGCTCACAATCCTGCCTTGCTTAAGACCCAAACCCCTCGAGTTGCTGAGCTACATGCCCGCCAAAATGAGGGAAGGCATGTCGGTGAGAATGTTTCGAAGTCACCTTTGCGTTCATGGAGTTATAATAAGGTCATTAAAATCCTGCCATTTCATAACACATGCGGCGATCAAGGTCACGAAAAATGTAGTCGTCAGGACGTTCATATTTGGCGTTCGTGAGCACGATCTCCAGATATAACGGCCATCAATTGGCCCCTAATTAATGTTGTGCAAGGTGCGATGACGTAATCAAACCATGACGCATTGATGAACATATTTGCTGAACAGATAACTGTGTTGCCTAGAGCAGTCTTATTGACATAAAATGTATGCCGATAATTATAAGTGTCCTCGTATCATCATATCTGATGCTCGCTTCAAGAACTTTAAATGTGCAACATCCCATTTAAGATATTAAGTTTGAGTTGACTAAAGGCAGATGCTATCCACCACAGGGTCTCGTCTGTGATACTACTATTCGGAAAAAATGTCAAGCAGCTCGGGATGATATGATATTGTCAAATGCTTGGTAACACAAATGGATATTACCTGACATTCAAAACAGATGATTCTTGAAGGCTGCCTGCAGCTGCACTATCCACATTTGAGCCTCTAGCATCATTTTGATACAAAGCATGCTTTTGATTGTGACCCAGTAGCCATCGGGGGATTTCGTGGGGCATTGCGGGCTCAAAGATAGCCTACCGGAGCGTAAACGTCCCTGCTCGGAAGGCCGCTGCTTTGTGGACCTGTGCAGAACAAAGGACCTTGTGAGAAAGTAAACTGCGGCATTCGGAGTATTTATGATTTTGTAATATGTTTGCGGTGTGGCCTGGCGGTCCCAATATGACTTGTTATTGGGCGAGATCATATAGGATTTTGAAGGCATCTCCTTCGGCATTTTTTTATGGATTTGCTACAGCAGCGTCTTTGCTATCACCCATTCTCTGGCGTGTTTCGCGAATGTTAGGCACAGGCTGCAACGGCGCGGTATCGCGGGAGACTACAGCGGATACCAAGCAGCGCTTCATTTAGCGCTGAGGCGCTCATACCTTCATTTGTCGCATTAACCCAGAAATTTGCACGCCTTCGTTTTAATGAGAGACAACTTTTGCAGAAGTTGTTGAACTACTCTTTTAGAACCTTGCAGGTTCTAAGAGAGTATGCTTCGCAACACCGCAATAAGTAAAAGGGGGTCAAAACGGGCAAGAACAGAGCCTTAACAGCTGTGAGTGGGTTTGGAGATCTGTTCGGGAGGGGAGGGGGATTTGGCCGAGTGCGGAGACATTTCTCTCAACCCCATCCCTGCCCCCACTTATCACGTCAAGAAATGACAAGAATCATCAGGATCCCGAGATCGCAGACGACACCAGCAGTGGCATGAAGCAGTCGCTGCACGTAGCACATGGCACTGCAACGCATGAGGCCGACGTCGGTCACCTCACGTACTTATGGGTCCAAAACAGAACTAAACACAGTGAAAAGATGAAGACGAGGAGATGAGGGACGACGATCGAGAAGAGCATCGCCAAGTGGTGGATAATGAGCGCATTCACTCAGTCAGCAGCGACAAGTTTCCGCATCAATATGCTGCATGCGGAGTGTAATAGTAACTGAAATGCTATGGTAATAGCACCAAAAAACTAAAGAATTCATGTTGTCACATACAAATTTGGCGACTCCCAGACGGGTGCCCGAGAGCTTCCACTCCAATTGGAAAACTGTGTCTATGGAAGATATTTGGCACTTCAAAGCAAACTTTCAATCGTATCAGAAATGCAAGAGTATGGCGCCAGATAGCCTGCATCTTTTGCCGCAGGATATATGTGGCATGGTATTTTTACTCGAAAAGGTGTGTCCACACTTTTGGGATAGCAAAACCCTTGCAGTGGCCAAAAGACACTGAATGCACTGATTGCCAGCCCCAGGGGTTGTCAAATGTCCTAGGCAGCACAGCATTTTGAATATCTGGACGCTTCTTTAAAAAAAGAATGGAATGCCCATAACTGGAAGTTGATATCCTTGAACTAGTTCAGCAACGGATGAAAACAACCTCTCAAAAATCGTGTCCACACTTATTCATTTGAGGAAAGTTTTGCTGAGGTTCACCGCTCTGGCATCATTTCATGGCGTGTTTTTCGCAAAGCGGTCGATTTTTGCCCGGATTAGCGCTGGACCACGCAACAGACGAGCATTTGTAGGTGTGCCATCTCACTTCGTCTATGTTCAACGTTTGAGGGGAGCAAAACCGATGGTAAATATTCAAAATATGCTTTGCAGGGAAAAGTCATCACATTTAACCTCCTACCCTCGATCATGTTCGGAGCAAAAAAAGAATACGAAAAGGCATAGGATGAGCATCGTAAATAGAGTTGCGTGTACGGTGCCGTTTGGTAGGGTTCTGATTTGACGTAGCTCTATATTTTGTGCATACTTGGAGCTGGATCAAAAACAATAAGCGTATGGTAGTCGGCCGTCTCACCCCTTGTGCAGTGAGTGCATCCAGAGCGGTTAGATACCACAGAGACCACAAAATGTAACATAAGCGTTATGATGTTGCATGGAAAGAGCAGAGAGATAGATCACGTTCGCTTGCAAAGCCCCTTAGAGGATTCGTTGCTCCCGGAAGCAATTTGTCCCCAAGCGAAGAGATCCCAGCGTATTAGGTCAGATCCCACATGCAATTGGATGTTACTTGCGTGGTGTCGCGTTCGTTATGTTCGGAACTATTTATTGTGTGTTTACCCGCCAGCTGGGTTCGCCGCGCTTTTACGCGGTCAGCCCCATCTTGCTTACGGTCGCAGGTGTTTATCAAACTGAGCCGATCAGAATGGAGTCTAGCAGAATAGGCACTAACATGAACAGTGCCTGTTGGCCAAAGCCCCGCCCAAATTTCGTGACACATCTACGCCAATCAAATTTACAGCTGACAGACATGGACACGTGCCAGTAACATTGAGGACATGTCACGTTATTTTGCGGCGCGCAAGAAATGTTGAGCCGACGTTTCTGTTTGTCTTACCTGCTCTGTCTGACCTGTTCTGTTTCACTCGGTCTGTCTGTCCTGTTCTCTCTGACCTGTCTAACGTGTCAAAATCGGCTCCTCGCACACTTTTTGGATTTCTTCTTTTCTTGTTTAAAAGCAGCTTCCTTATTTGCTTGCATGCGTGCTTAACACTTTGGGCCGATGCAGAAAAATGCAGCCAGTGACCATACCCTCTCACTCCGACTCCAATAAGACCCAGTCGGGTGTGAGCTGCCGATAAATAAAGGTTTCCCCTGCGGGGGAAGGGATTTAGCTGTCACCATGAAGGTTATCCTCCCCATTAGCATGTCAAAATAGGCTCTGCGTACGTCGCCAGCCGCCGTGAAATGTTGCGACAAGGACAGAGGCCAAGAGCCAGCGTTGCAGTCGCATTTTAATGGGGCGCCACTTGTTTGTATATGCCAAGTCCATGAGAAAATCGGCTCTGCTGTCAGTGTGAACCAGGCCCCATGAAATTAAAAAATATATTTGCTATTTTCTGTGTTTTGTCCATAGAAAGTGACATAAACGTAAAAGCGGGTGGTTCCGCTGGCATCATGGCACCAGCACTTCCCGAGAATGCTAGACATTGACCCTTTGGTGACGCATGGAAAGGATGAAAATGCGTGAAAATGGCATCGTAACCCCCACTTTCTGAAACGCTCCTGCACTTATGCAAGATTTTACGAAAACAGAAATGGACTCCCAGAAATGGACTCCAGTAACGATCAAGGCCTGGTTGCGTCCTTGGTAAAGGTTATGGTGTAGGTGTAAACCGAACCCACCAGCTTGTCGCGATCACTTGATCTCTTTCTACGCTGTATCTTCTGATGCTGTACTCATGTGGCGCGATATCTTGTGCCAGATCTCAAGCAGACTCTGGAACACACAGTTGTTGTGGATTGTACGTGATAATGACACGGCGATCAACGAATCACGTCCCTGGATCCCCATGCTGCTTAGCCTGTCGTTGAATTAACCTCATACCGAAGGATTATAATGAGACCACGCTCAGCCCGCCTTCCGTGGCTGTCCAGGTGGCCAGAGCTCTGACCGTCTCGACTCACATCTTGCCTTAAGGAGGTGATGTGCCCCTCAGAGTATGGCATGTGCACTCTAGCCACCGATACTCACTCAGTGGGGAGGAATGGCCACGATGCCGCTGCTGTGGGGGCCGTGACACACGCGACGCGTCTGGATAGAATGTGCCACATCACCTTGGAGCGCGCGGGTCATTTTGGGCCAGAAGCCGTGCACCGGATACTCTGGCACCCCCGCGATTAGTCGGGTGCGGCAGAGACGGTCACATGTTCAATTTTCTTACAGACGTCGGATTCCCGCCATATATATATATATATATATATATATATATATATATATATATATATATATATATATATATATATGTATCAAATGACCTTGTCTGTCCACTGTCATCATTTCGCTGTTGAATGCGACTTAAGTTGTGAGTTCCACATGAGCAGTGCAGTCGGCGCGCCCCAAAAGACCCAACTCACCACCATTATTGCACTCGGTGGTTCCTACCTTAGTCCTAGTTCGATATGGTTGGGTGATTGGGGCTTTGCAACGCACTTAGCTGCTGAGGCTATGTGGTGTCATCTGCCTCGCGCTCTGCCAGGAAGTGTGGAAACCACGGGGAATCGAACCCCGTACTTCCGGTTTCACACGCGTGCACCTTCCCTTCGATATAATTTGGTAGCACTTGTCTCCCAACTATACATACGCAGCCGCTTCATTTGTTGCGCAGCCAAACGAGCATTTGAAACCCGGCTGACGGCCGCATTTGGGGTTCCGTGGATAAGTACATACGTATGTTTGGTTAATTTTCCTGTTGGATAATTTGTTAGCAGCGTCACGGCACCTTTATCGACACGCTCCACTTAAATAATGTGTTGCGGTTTGCAGTTCATTTTAACACCAGTGGTTACCATTGTTCCCCAGCCGACACTACTACCTTCCATACTTTCCGCTATTAAGTTTGTTGTCGATTGCGGTTAGCTGTCGTCCCTTTTATGATAAATGACTGCTTCATAAATTATTTTATGATTAATTTGGCCCTTTCATCGACATGTGCCTAAACTGCAGCCATCAAAAAAGAACTTTGACTAAAGAACTAAAAAGAATTTCTCATGAAGTGGCTCAACACATCCCAAGTCACATGTGATATCAAACAGATTTTGACAGGCAATATCTTGTTTCTGCAATGTTTGTTTAGCATGAGTATTTTCTAGCACCATTCTCACTCTTAAGATAGTGTGTTGGGGCTCAGGAATGCAAGATTTGATATGTATGTGGAATTTACTTGAGGTCATTGTGTGAGTTTTAGGTAAAACCTTGATCTCTATATCTGATGTCAGCATCATACAGATTGTATGAACTGGGATTTCTTATGGGTGTATGGGCATCATTAACTGTGAAGCACTGCTAGCAAGCATTAATGCTACTCTGCTTACCATGCATGTTCAGACTTCAGAAGACATGAGATGCTTAACTGAACTGTTTATACTCCATTGACCTGGTGTGGTTCAGGCTTCCAGATGCAGTTGCAGGTATCAAAGTAAAAGAAAGTCAGTCTATATAAGGCTGCTTTGATTGACAGTTGTGTGCAGTTCAGGCCTATTATGTATATGTTTGCTATTTTATTTAATCCTTTCTTTTAATCTTCCTTTCATTTGATCTATAACCTTATACAGGTCAGGAAATACCTTAGTGACATTGAACCAGGGTAGATGCATTTACCTTGGGAATGAAAGTATTTAAAACTTTTACAGGCCTCTGGAGAATGAAATGCTGCACAAATGTGATATGTTACATAGCATTTGGCTTTTTATGCCTGGCTTAGAATGTGTTATTACAGTCAACTCATGATATGCTAATATCACAGTTGTCAGCTTGAAGTATTGCCATAATTATTCCAACCAGTTATTATGCATACCTGCCATCCCGTGCTGGGTATCATAGTGGTTGACATTTGCCATTTTTGTCAGTGAATAAGAATGTTTCAAGAATGAATGGTAGTCATTGTAATACCTCAAAGCTCAATCAAACACCAGGTATTCCTTCATGTTGGGAATCTGATGTTTGTGCCACATCAATCACCCTTGCTGTGGCATTCTTTCCAAGATGATACTTACACATTTTGTCCTGAGACCACAGAGGGCCTTGGCACCAGACCAGCCACAACATGGGCATCCTTTTGCCAGCAGTGGAGGCAATGAAGGGACCGCCGGCTACCGCCGCCGCCCAGGCCTTCACTATCGCCGTGCAGGGCCGGGTGTACGCCGTTGAGGTCTCCGGCTTCGCCTGGTCCAGCGACCTGGTCGTCTATGGCACCGCCACATCGGTCGGCGTCATCAGGATCACGTTGCCGGTCAGAGGGCAAGGGAGGGAAGGGAAGCGCGCATCGCCCCGTCCCTCGCCCCGACCAGGCGGGCTCACCACCTTGCCTGCCATGTGTGATCTTTCACAGTTTGCTTGATTCAGTGTTTGCATTAGCCAGGTGTAGGGCATGTCTGTTTTTCTCTGCCATTAAGTGTGAATGCTGTGATAATCTGTTTTGACATGAAGCAAAACTTCATGCTCTTTTCAATCACTTTATCATGACAATTATTTAAGGACTCTTGGGTAATTGTATACAGATCTGTATTGTCTATGCATGTTGGCCCCCTGTATCGATTTTGAAACGTCTGCCACACTAGCGGCCATGGCTGACCAGCTGTCCACCTGCTGGATGGGCTGCTATCAGTTTCTGACCCTGTGTGGCACCCCCCTCCCCCCCCCCCCCAACCCTCTCCAGGAGGACAGCGACACCGGCGAACTGGAACACGCGCTGCTGCACGAGTTCCACCACGACTCGCGCGTCCGCTGCCTGGCCTGGAGCGCCGAGACGAACCTGGCCGAGGTGCCGCAGCGCGTCAAGTTCGCCGCCGCCGGCGCCGACCACCGGATCCGCGTGTTCGAGCACACGGGCCGGCAGGATGGCGGCCAGCTGCAGGTGCGCGGTGAGGGCGGCGGACTGGCTCCGCCGCGGGCGCGCGCCGGCCCAGCGGCCACGCGCCGCGGTCGTAGTCGGAGCGAGCACGCTCCCCGATGCGACCCAGACCCGGGTCAGCCTCACTCTCGACACCACGCCTCCGCGGACGAGCCGAGCTGTCTGACAGACACCCAGCCGTCTGGTCAGTGGCGCCGGGCGGCGCGTGCGGACGCCCCCCCCCCCCCTGGCCGCGTGCCCCTGCGCTCGGTCCTGCAGCACTGCCTGACGCCGCCGCCCCTGCCCTGCCCGCGCCAGGTGCGCCTTCTGTGCGGCCATACCGACTACATCAACGACTTGGCATTCGGCCCGGACGGCCACACGCTGGCCAGCGTCGGCGACGACCTCACATGCCGCCTGTGGAACGCCTCCGACCTCACGCCGCTGGCCTGCATCGCCGCCGACGACCCCTGTGAGTGCGCCGGACCCGGTGCGCCACCAGGCCGCCGTGGGTGGTGGACCGCCGGCCGAGACGCGTGGATGCTGACGCCAGGTGTTTATGTGTGTATGTATGTATGTATGCATTATGTATTACGTCCATAGCTGGGTCACACGCAATGGAGCGAGGCTTTTCAGCCCCTTATTATGAGTACAGGAGATAAGAGCATGCAGGTAAAAAAGAAACACATAGCACACAGACACCCGTTCACCGGCTTCCAACAACATCAGCACTCGCACAGGTGCGCTCTCGCCGCGCGTACGAAACGTTGCAGTGTTAGTTGTCCGACGTCGGCTGGCAGTGCATTATACAATGCTGTCGCGTGGTACTCAGAACGTTTCCCACCGGCCTTGGTTCTCGGACTAGGGAGGCGTAGGAGTCCATCCTGTCGAGTGGGTCGGGCACGTGTGTCGCGGTTTAACACAAACATAGCCCTCAGCAAATCAGGCTCGCCGCGCAGTATGGGCGGGGGTGGCTACTTCAGATTCCGCCATGTGCGACCGGCCAGTCTGGGAGCACCCACGCGGGCCCCGCTACTCCGGATGGCGGCCGGTGCCGCTGCTGACCTCCCGTGTCGCGCTCCAGGCGTGGGCGTCTGCTGGCACCAGGAGGAGCCGTACCAGCTGCTGGTGGCCGCCGCCTCGGGCGTCGTCACCTTCTACAACACAGAGACGCGCGCCGCCGTCTCCGCCCTGCACACGGGCCTGCCGGGCCTGGCCGGCGCCGACTGGTCGTCGGCGGACGTGCTGCGGGTGGCAACCGTTCATGATAGCAAGCTGATCACACTCGACTTGTCCCGGCACAGGTCAGCACACTGTCCCGGGCCACGTCAGATCGGCACACGAACCCAGGTCACGTCAGGTCAGCGCACTTCCCAGGGTCACGTCATGTCAGCACACTGCTCCGGGTCACGTCAGGTCAGCACACTTCCGTGTCACGTCAGGTCAGTACACTCCCGGGTCACGTCAGGTCAGCACACTGTTTCGCGTCACGTCAGTTTACCACGCTGTCCCGTGTCCCGTCAGGTCAGCACAGTGTCCCGGGTCACGTCAAGTCAGCACACTGGTTCGGGTCACGCCAGATTAGCATGCTGTCCCGGGTCGTCAGGTCGGCGCACTGTCCTGGGTCACGCCAGGTTACCACGCTGTCCCGTGTCACGTCGGGTCAGCACACTGTCCCGGGTCACGTCAGGTCAGGGCACTTCCCGGGGTCACGTCAGGTCAGTACACTCCCGGGCTCGTGTCATCTCAGGTGGGCGGACGGTTCTGGGTACGTCAGGTCAACAGACAATGCCAGCCCGCCAGGCAGCGTTTCGATACTCGGGGACTTGGGTGGCAGGGATGTCGATATTTTTTCATGCCATCGCACCCTGTTCTTGGCCTCACTACCTGTTGCTCCTCCCCTCGCTCAAGACCGACCAACCAGCGCCGAGCCGGACGGCGGTCAGCCCAGCATCTGGGCGCCGCCGGCTCGGCACCTCGGCCGACTTGTCAGGTGTCGGGGCTCGGGGTCAAAGGGCAGCGATTTAGCAGCCGACGATTTGTGCGTGAGGAGGCCGGCCAGGAGCCAGGGTTCTGGTAGCATGAATTTATGTTTGCATCTGCACACCCAACTGGATGCATTTCGGGACGCCGGTTTACAGAGTGGGCATTGAAGAAAATGCAGCATACAGGTGCAGAATTGGGCTCGGCGCGTGGTCGATGCCGTGTCAGTCTCTGTAGTGAGCCGTTCCCGAGCTAACTGAAAGGCGAAGTGCATGGTCGGGTCAACAGTGGCGCATGTTTGGTAGGCAGGCAGGACAGGCGGGCTTTTGACACATTTATACGGAGATTTCTGGATTGTTCCTTGCTAGAGCGAGGCTGAGTGCTGGTGTTGGACTGGCTGCTCCGATATTGCTCACGAGTTAGCCGCCGGCAAGCCGGGCGCAATGCTTGTGGTGTCGAAACATATGGCGCCGTGTTCTGACATGCACACCCGGTGACTTCAACGCTGCATTCCGAGTGTGGCGGCTGCTGTTTCGGCCGAGCGGCGACTCCGCTGCGCGCGTCGACGGACGTGTGACCTCGCCGTGACCTCGGCTGCCCACAGCACGCGCGAGACGGAGCACGACGTTCACAGCGGGGGAGGGCAGAGGGTGAAGTTCTCTCGGACCGCAAAACAGCACGTGGCCACCTGTGGCCTGAATCAGGTCAAGGTGACACAGCTGGATGTCAAGCAGGCTGCTCCTCTGACCGCTGATCTCATGGTGAGCATTTGGTGAGATCCTATCGGCCTGAAAGTGCCCTCCCAATGGTGAGATTCTGTTGTGCTGTCCCTCGGCTAGGTGCTCCCCCCCCCCCCTTCTTTTCTAATGGCGAAGGCTGTTATGCCGAGCTGTGATGGTCCGAGGTTCAGTTCCGCCCGTGGTAAGAGGCTGTTGTGCTGCCGTATTATCAACAGGCTGTCGTGCCCTACTGGTGCCGCTCACTGCCGTCATCTGACGGCTCTCTCCTCTTTCTGGACTCTGGCACGTTCTGGACTCTGACTCGATCTGAACTTGGACTCGATGTGGACTCTGGTTCGGTCTAGACTCTGGTTCGGTCTGGACTCTGACTCGGTCTGGACTGCGACTCGGTCTGGACTCTGACCGGCCCGGCGGCCGCGGCTGGGCCGCCTCGGCCGGTGGGAGCTGGGCGCCGTCTCCAGCCGCTGTCGGCTGTTGCAGGCGGTGGGCGGCATCAGCTGGCACAGTGTGCTGCCGTACCTGGTGGCCGGCGGCGACCGGCAGCTGCTGGTGTGGCGCGTCACTGTCATCTGAGCGGCCGGCCGCCGCCGAGACTGGCTCCGGTGTGCCGCCTGCTCCCGTGACGCCGGAGCAGTCTCCCCGCCGTCACCGCCGCCGCCGCCGTCATCGCAATATCGACCTCACTGACGACGACCCGTCAATACAGCCTTTTGTATGATTGTTTCGTGCGGGCTGATGTCCGCATCGTTATTGCTGGCAGGCGGCGGGTGGGCCGGTGCTCCACGTATGGTCTCATCGCCGTCGCTGGTTTTTGCCCGGATCGGTCGGCTGATTGCGCAAGGCTTGTTGTCGGGGCGATGGCCGCTCGGACGCCGGGGACTGCTCGAACCGGATTCGCAGAACGCTCGCAGAGGCGGTGGCGCAATATGGATCCCGGGTTGCTGGGGCGCACACCGTCGCTCGGACTGCCGCGAGCGGTTCGCCAACTGCTCCCGACTACCGCCGGACACGTGCGGCCACTCTCAGAACGCCGGCGCCGCCGCGAAGCGTGCTGCCGCGCCGTCAGGCGCGCGTGCGGCGAGTTTAGTTCGGATTTCGCTGTTACTTTGCATGTGGGGGCTCAGTCTGTGGAGTGACGTCAGGACGGTACTGCCTGGGAGCAGGTCGCGAGGCGGCAGTACGCGGCAGCACGCCACACCTGCGTCGGGCTTGGGGACACGTCTAGGGGCTAACCCACGTGGCTCTCCGCGTCACGTGGCTTCTCCGCGCGGAACGCCACGTGGGCTGGAACGACGTGGTGCACTTCTAACGGCGTGGTGTGATGTACCGGGGTTTGCGTCAGCTCACTGTTTGTGGTCAAATGTCGCTGAAGTGTCGTAAAACGAACAGCGAGCGGACAGGTAGAGACCATATTTCAGCGCGGCCCAGAGGAAGGGAGAAGTACGGCTGTTCGTGCGAGGGGTGGACCAAAGTTTCACGATCCCGCCCGTAGCCAATCCAGCTACCGGTGCGAGACGCATTTCCGGGTTCAATTTCCAATACGATCGCTCACGCTTGGTCCCCTTTGTAAGCCTGGCGTATAACTGATGCGCAGTAGTGCGCGGTGCAAGGCATTGCGCACGTGGGTATAATTTTTAGAGCACAGGATGGCCGGTGTCGAAATCGGTGTACTGCTTCCTTTACTAGTGATTGTTCTAGAGCTATACGGTTAAAATTCCAGTAATGAATCTCGATTGATAAGGCATGCTTTATCCCAGGCTTTATCCCACCAACGGACATTCGTTTTAATTCCGCTGAATATTTCGTAAGGCCTTTGTCCTGTTGCGTCAAATTGTCATTGGTCTCTCGCACCCCCCTCCATGAAGGGCGTGTTTTTTCCAGTCGAAGAACGTAGCCGAGAGCGGTAACAGCGGCGGGCGCATACGCTGAGCCTGCTTCTCACGGCGTCTCATCTTGTTATTTTCTCACCACCAATTATTCTGTACCTGCCAGGTACAACAGCGAGTAGTCACAACACTCGAATCCCTCGCGAACATTGCAATGCGAGGATCGCGGTTGGTGTTGGGCGATTGCTGTCTCGGGCGACCGGCCCTCGCCGACGGGCGCACTTACCGATAGCAGCAGCGCGCCGATCCGCACCGATTTCAAAACACGCGCAGCTGCTTTTAATACCAGTTTCACAGATTTTACCGATTTCAAAACACGTGCAGCTGCTTTTAATGCCAGTTTCACAGATTTTACCGATTTCAAAACACGCGCAGCTGCTTTTAATACCAGTTTCACAGATTTTACCGATTTCAAAACACGCGCAGCTGCTTCTAACGCCAGTTTCACAGATTTTACCGATTTCAAAACACGCGCAGCGGCTTTTAATACCAGTTTCACAGATTTTACCGATTTCAAAACACGCGCAGCCTGCACACGGGCACAATCAGAGCTCCTTCGCCGGGAATCCCGCTATGGGGCTGCCTCATGGCCTGCCACACGCCGCGGTCCGCAGCTCCCACTCGCCCGCTCGAGACCCCGCCCGCGTGCACTGGCGGGTCCCACCGCCGCCAAAACAGCGTGCTCGCATGTGGTTTTGGTGTATTCATACTCGCCACCGATTTGCATGACTAAGCCTACGTCGCGACCTGCCCACTGAGAGTGCCCATGCTAACAGTCCAAATAAGGTCTGGTATATCCCAATGTGACGCTCCACGGATAAATAAATAAACTAACACTATGGAATACACCCGGGTCGAAACCGCTGTACGCCGCAGTGGCATCGTGTAACAATAAGCGATCTCCGCAGATACAGGGGATACTCACATCATAATAACGGATAATTTCGTGAACACGTGCGACTTCACGCACGACGCGGCCTATCGCCGTACCTGCGGTGCGCTGTGTCACATACAGTTGCCGCAGCAGAAACGCAGCCAAGGCTCGTAACAAAAACACTTCCGAACAGCACGCCACCTACTACGGGGTCGAGCGGCGCGGGGCGCCCGGGGAAGCCGGCGCGCAGGGCGGCCAGCTGGCGGGCCGCGAAATGGCACGCGGCAAGGCACCCACAGAGCGCGCGAGAGAGCGTCGGAGAGACGGCGCAGTCAGCGGCATAGTCGCAGCGTACTTCGGACAGACGATAAACTCGATCGATCGAGACGACGTTAGGCAGACGATCGCGGCAGATGCTCGGCAGCGCTGGTTAGTTTGCGTAGAAAGTTGGGATATATCAATATGCGGATATCGATGTGTGCACGAGGCGAGCATGTACAAAAATAGCGCCCGTGCTGGTGGGAGACCCAGAGTACCAACCGAGTATCGGTGCAGCGTCAAAGACCCACCGTCCGACCTGCGCGAGCGGCGCGCCCAGGCGCCGCGCTCACAGCGCCCCGCCCGTCACAATTTCCTGTTACGCCGACGGCGAGTTTATCACACTGCCGCAGGATGACGCCACTGAGCGACCGCGGGGCGGCGCCACCTGCGGCTCAGAATCCGCGCTGACCCGGCGGCACCAGGTGAGACGGCAGCTCCGCGGGCAGGTCGTGACCGTCCAGCTTGATGTTAATCAGGTGCATGGCCAGCGCGAACTCCTCCACGTCCAGCATGCCGTCCTTGTCGTGGTCAGCTAGCTTCCACACCTTGCCCAGCACGGTGTTGGGCAGCTTGGACTTGACCATTTCGGCCTTGGCGGCTGTGGACGGGAGTAGCGCGATCAGCCAACGTCAACGCTGCGATTCGATCTCACTGGAATTTATTTCTTTACTGAACACGACGTGTCCGGGCCAGCTTTTCGCAACCGGTACAGCTTAGATACTCGTCCAATCACAGCTTGTTGCCGTAAAACTTAATGCGATCTTTCGACTCTACATGGAGAAAAGTTTGCCGCTAAAAAGTGCGTGAGATTAGCCTGCTGCGGAGTTCTTGCAACCACCAGCCGGACCAGCAAGTTCGCTCCACAAGCGCGAGGTCAATAAGGGCAGCCTCGTGGCGTTAAATCATGCATCAACGCAGCCCCTATAGCGAAGGAGTCTTTATCAACACAGTCCATATGGCGAAAGATACATTATCATGAACACAGCACCTATCGCAAAAGATTAGAGCCCACGAAAATTATAATTCCCCCGATTCTGATCGTTTTTCAGAAGAAAGATGGCGTGTGTTCTGCTGCGACTACGAGTACGATCAAGCATCAGCTTCAGCTTTTACTTCGGCCCCCTCGCACGCAAAAAAAGACAGGACGTACGAACCGAAACGCAAGCAAAAAGAAGTGTTAAAAGCGCGATGTCTGCGAAAATGACACCACTATTTTAGTGATTCTGCACAGTCACACGAACAAAACGCGCACGTTACCAGCCGTGCAGACAGAAAGGCGCAGTGGAAAGTCGCTCACAAGGAGCGCACTTCCCATTCTCTCTCCCCAAATTCCGCGCAAGAGCGTCAGATGCGGCACTGTACGGCACTCTGTACGGCACTGCAGCACTCTGCGGGCGTGAGATACGCCGGTGGTCGTGATGTGGCATGTAATGTTCCTGTGGAGTTCTAGCTGGAAAAGCTCAACCTTGTGCGAGTTGAGCTGGGTGTGTTCCAACCTCCTCTACTTTACTCCGTGGCTCACGCCTACGACCACGCAGCCGAATTGAAAAATGGAGCCCCCATGAGGGCACCGGGCTGAACTACGGCCGTTGCACTGTAGGTGCCCCGTACAAGTGGCAGATTCTGAAATGATAACAATAGGACACGGTAGCCGCGTTCAACTACAGAGCCGATGCGGTCCGATAGGTTCAATCAACTGTCCGTCATAACCCCCACGCCAGCCGCGCATGTGCGCGCGTGACAAGAGACCTGGGTTCCGACAAGACCCGAGCGCACTTGTGCTAGCTGCCTCTTCAGACACGCAGCCACCGCGCTGGGCTGAGCGCATTACGCCAGGCGTCGGGCGGAGGGCAAAGTCGACCCAGACAGGTTTGCACCATTGCTCAGACATACGTCTGTTCCACGGCTACAAAGCTCCTCGGGTCGTCTACGTATAAAATACTTTGGACACTGCGTTTTTGGTGATGTCGTTGATAAATGTAGAGGCTCGGACCGGGAACCAAGCCTTTTGTGACGCCGCTATACGCCGGCGACCAAACAGATGCGTCCCAGGCTACTGCCGCGCTGGCGTCCGTTGGATGTACACGAATTAAATGGAGAGTATGTATATCGTAGCTAATCTGAAACATTCCGCTATGACGTCACAATGTCCGAAAAAGAGCCCTCCCCCGACTTTGCAGACCCCGCCAAAGCGCAACGGCTTGCGTTTAAGCCGCTTTAGAGCGTTTGCGGTTATACACAGCACGCGCTTAACACGCGCCACGATTTTCATCCGGCGCCCAGCGTCGCCCAGTATGCCGCACCCGCGCCGCGGTCGCCGCCCGCCCGTCACCCAGACCAGAGCCGAAATCAGAATCGGAAATGTTGCCGGAAAGCCAGCACCGGACAAAAGCAGCTGTGCCCCGATCCTTATCAGCAGCGGCACCTCGAGCCTGCCGACCACCAGTCGGCCTTGGTCCACTATCTACACTCGACGTGAGCGGGCCAGGCGGCGGGGCAGCGCTGGGGAGGGGCCGGCCGGCGGTGACAGATAGGCGGGGGCGGACCGCCGCCAGCGCCGCGACCCCGCGGGCGGGCACAGCGCCGACCGCAGGCACGGCACCCAGCGTCAGCCACTGAGTCAACCTCAGCTGACTG